CGGGGGTCTCGCCGGTTCGACGAAGGCGGATGAAGAGATCGATGGCTTGGGAGGAATGGCCGGCCTGCGCATAGCCGCTGATGAGGGCGTTCCAGGAGCCGAGATTTCGGTGGGGATTTTCGTCGAACAGTTGGTTTGCGGGGATGAAGTGGCCGGCTTTGGCGTAGAGGGAGATGAGGCCGCTCTCGGAGAATTGGTGGCGGGAGAGGCCGTGTTTAATGGCGACGGAGTGGAGTTGACGGCCGAAGGAGAAAGAGAAGGAGGTGAAGGAGGCTTTGAGGGCGATAGGGAGGGAGTAGCGGTCAGGGTATGTGCAGGCGCGGGACATGTGGACGAAGAGGTGGAGAGCGGAGGAGGGGATGGAGAGACGAACGTAGCAGCGCATGAGGGAGTTCCAGTGGAAGGGGAGAAGGAGGAGATTGCGGCGGAGGACGAAGGCGTGGATCTGCGACAGCTCTAATTGGTCGAAGCATGACTGGAGGTGGGTGGCGGCGGCCGCGGCCGGTGAGGAGGACGATGGAGAATTTAGCAAGGAAATCATCTATTAGGGGCAAAGTTATTGGGAGCTTCAAGAGATGTGTGCTTATTTTCCTCCAAATAGATGGGAGTATGCTAATTTAAAAGTATTAATGCCGACTAGAATATTCGCGGCAGTAGAGTAATATTGTCTTAACATTTTATGAAGGTTTAACATACACCCGAAAAAGTGAAAATAACTAATAATGACACAATAATTTTTTACGTGAAAATTTTGAAAAGTAAAAAATCACGAGTGTTACCAAGCTGAAGAGTTTCACTATAGAAAGAAGATTACAGTTGCGACCACTTGTCCCATAGGTCGGAAATGGTTATTAGATTTCTGAAGTTATAATGCCGACGTGTTGATTAATTTGCTACTAGAAACAGACAACAAACAATAACGATTGATGTCGTCCGTTCGGTGGTGGTCAATGGTAGTTGGTGGTGGTCGACGACCTTCTGTAGAGCTCGATGGAGATTGTTGGGTATCAACAACGGTCGGCGGTGGTTGACAAAAACCAGTGGTGGTGGATAGCAGTCAACAGTGGTGGTATTGGTTTTCAGCACATCCTCAAAACCTTAAGCTCTTCCTTAAGTCTCAAGCTCACCCCAATCCTTATGAGAGGGTCACATTTTATTTATAGAGTTTCTCATGTAATTAATACAGTAATATGAACTATTTTGATCGGACGGTCCGAATGAGTCTCTCGTGCAATTAATACAATAATATGAACTATTTTGATCGGACGAGCATTTAATGCTTTAAAATTGTCAGAATTAAGCAATATTGGACTCGTTGAATTCAACCTGTCGAGATACTCGATTCAACTATAGGCTTGCTATATTCGACATTCATTTGGCTTTCCAAATGTGTCCAAAAAAGCTCGTAAAAGTGGTTTAATGACTTGATCTGAGCTTGATTTAACTTGAATTTGATAATTTTAGTATCACTATGTCCGTCTCATTAATCCGGTCAAGTTGACTGTAAGTCTGGTGAAATCAGAGCTCTAGATGACTTTTAATCAAAGCCTGAACATTTTTTTTTGCTCAAATGTTGACTTAAGATTTGTGTCATGCCATAAATTTGCTAATGACGTATCAGTTGCAGCCCTATTTTCGAGCGAGAATAATATTTTCTCACGAAATTATTAAAATTCGGAGCAATCTATTCTTATAGTTGTATTATCATAT